ATTTTGTCCCTTAAATATCTATAATTTTGATGTAATTTGACAATATATTTATAAAAATTCCTATTACAGTATTTCTAATGTTTTTAAATTAAATTGATTAGTAAGTAATGTTAATTTTTTTAAATTTTAAGTACATTAAATACAAATAATATTAAGACAGTAAGAAGAGTTTTCTTTGAATATTTTCTTTATTACCAAATATTATCAAAATATAATTCTAATATTTTCATTTGAAACAGAAGAAAAAGCTGAAAAACAAAGAAACCCGGCAAATCAAAAACATAAGCTGATATTTTTCGAAAAACCGGTAAACTGGACTTTCTCTTATACTTTCCCTTGGGAATTAAACTGTTAGACTTTCTTACATTTCATATATTGAACTTGTTGTATTGTGAATTTCATCAAAAGAAAAAAGTGATAAAAATATAACAGGAAAAAATCCAACACATGGTATAAGGTATATTGCAATATCAATAAAACTTTTTCGTCTAGTAGCAGGAGGTAATATTTTTCAGTATGTCATGATTGAGCATCAATGGCAAAGTCCTATCTCTGAAACCATTCAAAAAATATACTACTTATATGAATGATATAATTCCTATATCGTTCTAATGCTTATGATGTAAGATCTGAATTACTTGACAGCAAGATCTCTTTGGATTCTACAGTCAGTTATTTTAAAAATTGCTATAGAAATTCTTATATAAAAATCGTAACGATTCTTATATAGAATACTTTCTATAGCAATTATTCTAGGATAAAAACTTAATTTTTTTTAGAAAACTATAAATTTAATTTTTATTTCAGTCTCCAATAACAAATTAGTGAATTTGTTGAAAAATTTACTTTTATTTAATTAATAAATAAATCAAATCAATATTTATTCGTAGAAAGGCAACCGCCTGTTACAAAGGGTGTAGATCAATGTCAAACAATTATTTTATTATCACAACAGTAAATATCATTTAAACCAAATTAAACTAACTTCTTTATCCTACGTTTAATTATAACTTATTTTCATACATTATAAACTATTATTGAGTAGTACAACTCTCTATCTCAACAATTACTCTCTGCCAGTAACATTCTAATTTACTTTGTAACCTATTGTAGTACTTAATACTAGTAGTTGGTACTTTTATCAACTGAATATTGAAGATAGTTTCAATCAATTGAATACAATTGACATATTTCATCATTTAAGATTTTTTGCGAATTAATTAATAAATAAGCAGCTATTTAAAGTGAAACTAAATACTTGTATAAAATTGAATTTTTATAACATTCTCTGAAAAAATTACACAAATTAAATAATATTAAAGCTGGAGATAATTTTTTTAATTTGAGTAAATGAAATGAATTTTAATGTTTTTCGAAATTAGTAATTTAAAAAATAAGTTTGAAGGAAATTAAAAGAGGAAATGGCGATACTTTTTAATGTTATTATTATTTTAAATTTTTTAAATGTTTAAACCAGAAAAAATTAATATTATTAAAATATAAGATTGCAAAGTTTTGTAATTAAAATAATTATTAAGCTATTTAATTAATAAAATAAATGTGAATTACAGAATCAGTGTTTATCGTTATCTTTTGATAAAATTTTTGATAATATTAAATTTTACAAACATTTATATTCTTATCATCTTATAATCTGCTGTAGGCCTATATATGCAAATTATGAGCCATGAGCATATATAAGCTTATGATATATAGTAGGTTATAATATGTATACATATATATATACATTCGAATTACTTCAGACGTTATCAGTTCTATTGCTTCTTTCAACAAATTAGCATGCTATAAAGGAAGGAAAACTATGAGTATGTGTAAAAGATAAATATATGACATCGTCCTTTTTTCTCATTTTATTATGTTTCCTTTCTTGTTATTTTAAAATTATCTAAAAACTATTTTTATATAAAAAATTCAGTTAACTCTATATTTCAAGATGTATGTAGTTGGGTATTCAACTTAAAATAAAAACAAATGAAATTAAACTTGAAGATGTTATAATGCACATTTTATTATTAAGTTTAATAAATTAATTTAGATTTTAATTTATACAAAATATTTCTATTTAAAATTCATATCTAGTCATTTATTCTATTAATTAACTTTTCTAAATAAATAATACATGTTATATAAAGTATTAAGAGCACAAGAGGATACAAAAGTCAATTATGCATTAAGACTAAATTGCTGTCTTAATTATTTAATTATTTACATATTTAATATTATTATTTACCTTTANTCCGTGCATAGTGAAAATATTAGAATTATGTAGCGTAATATCAAGTATCTCAAGCAACATTCATCTTTTCTTTCCTCCCTCAGCTCTCAATTCTAAGGGACGGAAGTGAGTTGAGTTATTAGTCCTGGAATATATTATTTTGCAACAGATGAAGTAGGCACTACAAGCAACAGATTAAAAAATATCCTACAAGTCCTAAAATTAAAATTTCGTAATTTGGAAAAAATATGAGATTATACATAGATATATAAAATTTAAATTCCTACACAATATTTTTGAAAACGAAAGAAATCTATATTTTATTATTTTATGTTTATCTGTGTTTCAGACTATCCGTGTTTTCCTTGCACAAATTAGTCTGGATAGTCGGGATTCCGGTGTATATACACAGTATATATATAGGGCCTATATATATATATATACACACAAGTATAATAAGAGGTTAACTGACTTTTGGTTCACCCTCTATATTAACTTCCATTCAATTTATATAAAATACAATTTAATAAAGTTTTGATAATAATTTCTTTCCCATCTAATTCTACTATAATGTTTTTTTAAATTATAAAACATTAAAATGTTTGTTTTTATATTAATAATTAACAGATTTCTCATAGCAATGAAAATTACACTTAAGAAATACAAATATTTACTTCATTAGTTTTTAGTAATGGATGAAGATAATGAAAGAAAATTCTGATTCATTTATTAGAGGTTTAGCAGAAAATCATTAGCTAGATATTTCTTAATGATTAAGGTATTGATAAAAACATAAATAGCAAAGAGAATATACGTTAAAATGATACACATGATTTTTTTTTCTTAGTATTATATTTAGGCTATATTATAGAATTATCTGTTTTGAAATTTAATTGTAAATAAATTTTCAAATAATATGTTCGAATATGCTCCTATAATGTGACCGAATAACCTTTGATATTCTAAAATCTTTTTATTGTTTTTTATTTATGAAGGCTTTTGTATTATAAAATGATATTTTAGTTTACTTTAATACTGAATATCCCGGGAATCATTTATAAACGACAGAATTCTTCTATTTCTTTGATAACTACTTAATTTTATTGTTGTTTATCACACATTCTAACGGAATCCAATATGCAATAATGGTAATAAAAAACCGCTAAACAAAACCTATTTTCTTGTAAATCTAGTAATAAACGAGAAATGTCTAAAAATTTTATTTAGAAACTTTTTAAAGATATCTTAGTCTAGTTTACATCTGTTTATAAGTGAACCGAGAAATAATTACCAAAATAGTAACAATAATAATAAAGTTACGGTCAGGATCGCCGAGAATTGTATAGGAGAACAAATTATCTGGTCTTAAAAGGATTCAGAAATCTAAAAAAAAAACAATAAATTATCATATGTTTTATAAATTTCATAATTTACAGTAAAATAAATGTGAATTGTATCTAATATCTAAAAATTTATTGCTTTTATAAAGAATCGGAAAAGGGGCCACAAAATTTTGAATCGCAGCCTCTGTCAGCCTGATTATGGAATGTATAGTATTTCCGAAAATAATTGAATAACTTCATCAAGAAATTAAAAAATTTAATCTATGAAAATTAAGTTTAAATAAATGTAACTTTTTTGTTTTGACTAAATTTCTGCATTCAAAAAAGAAATGAAGACAGAGTTGATACTAAGTAATAGACATACGCAATTTAAATATGGAACATTACAGCATAATAAAATAGAACAAAATAAAGAATTAAAAATTATACGTCTAAAATCATCTATATTCATTTTTACTTATAAATATAAATGAAAGGGGTGAATTTGTATCCATTTTCATTATTATAATTCTTAATTAATTTTTTTAGACATGCTAGAATTGTTTCTTGAATATAAGCTGTTAGGTTTCACTTATCATTGTTAACCATATTCTAATATTATCGTTAATATTTCTTTCTATTTAAATTATGTCAAACTAAAATCCGTTTTTTTCTAAAATAATTAATTTCAATAATTTGTTGAAGAAAATAGCTGTTATAATTTATATACTTTTTAGTGAGTAAATAAAGTTATATTTTACAAATGTAACGTATTTATTGAAAGAAAAAAAATGTACGTATTTATAGTTCTATTTAATACTACATATTGCTTTCTCTATCTTAAATACTTTCTACGTTTATTCAAATAAGAATAAATAAATTATAGATAACAGATAAGGTTACAAGTTTTTATTTAAAATCTAATTATGTGGATGCTATACAATATTTTCAATGAAAATATTTATGAATATTATTTAACTTTACTAAATAATTATGTTTTTAATTATAAAAACGGTTTTCTTTAAATAATGTATTTATTCTTTTTAGATTATTATCGAGAGAATATATATATTCTTACGATAATAAAGATAACCTTTATCATCAAAACATGATTTATAAGATACAGAATTTTGTTCTTTGCCATTTGCATTTTTGAAATTTAAAAAATCTCTTAAAAAGAAAACAAGTTTTACAGAAAGTCAATTTTTATTACATAAAAACAAAACTTTCTTATTTCCAATGCATAAATTTTAAGATGAAATTTAAAAAGGTAAGGGAAAAGAATATGTATGACCTCTTAGTGTTGATAAAGTAATCATGCATTCAAAGCTTCCACAGGAATGTTTTGAATCGATATTGACTTTGTAATTACCAAGAATATTTTTCCTGAAAAACTAAATATTAGCCTACATTATAAAATATATATTTTGAACTTTTTAAAGGTTTTGAACGTAATATTCCTGGGTATCCGAGGTATTTTATGGTACTAAATACCGTTCAAGGTGTATATAACCTTAGAATAGAAAATGTTCGTTTAGAAGATGAAGCAGAGTTTCAATGTCAGGTAAAAAAATGTTTATACTTTTTAAGATTTTCACTAATTATTTAATTATTTTAAACTAAATAGAGGTTGCTAAATTTTTATTTATATTAAATATTTTAAGTTAGTAAACTATAAATTTTTAAAGTTGATTTTTTCCAACAAACTAGAAGCAACAAAAATATCCGTAACGATAGATGAAGAAAAAGGTTTTACAACGAGCAGTTCCTTAACATTGTATCCTAAATTAGAACAAAGTGGAACCACCTACACGTGTGAAGCTTTTCATCCTGCTTTAGAGAAACCACTTAGAGCAACAATTGCTGTCGGAGTTTTGTGTAAGTATTAATATATCTGTGAGGATCTGGAAAATATCAGTTTATAATATAATATTATAATATACAAGTTAAAAAGTATTTACACAAGAGTTTAAAAATAATAAAAACGATGAATCTTTACACAAGAGTATAAAAATAATAAAAACGATGAAATAATAAAAACGATGAAACCCTGTATTAATATATTATTAATACAGGGTAATAATATATATACCCTGTATTANTTGAACTTTTTAAAGGTTTTGAACGTAATATTCCTGGGTATCCGAGGTATTTTATGGTACTAAATACCGTTCAAGGTGTATATAACCTTAGAATAGAAAATGTTCGTTTAGAAGATGAAGCAGAGTTTCAATGTCAGGTAAAAAAATGTTTATACTTTTTAAGATTTTCACTAATTATTTAATTATTTTGTAAGAAAATATTTTAAAAATATATTATTATTTTTATTTTGTAAATTATGTATTTTATATACTGATAATTATATAATTTTGAAAATATTTCAATCGCGTTTAGGTTGGTCCAAGTAAAAATCAGAAACCAATTAGAGCCGCTGCTCGGTTAACTGTTGTAAGTAAGTACTTAAAATTCGTTAAATATCTAATATTAATAATCAATATTTTGAAAATATTAATAAGTATTTTTAAAATATTTATTTTGCGATATATATAAATTAATTAATTTTGACACAGACTTTTGATAAATAATAATTTATTTATACATTTAAATCTTAATATTTATGAGTTTTAACTTTGAGTTGAACATCTTTAAAATTTATTATTATTTACCTTTATTTAAATGTATACGCTCTGTTTAAGGTTTGCATAAGATAAGTGGTTAGATTAAAAATACAAACATATAGAATTTATAACATGCGTTTCTATTAAATTTAATATTATTTACCATTCACAAGTTTGAGTAATGTCCAAGTCTGAACTCTTGATGGAAATAAACGTACTTAACGATATTCTTTTTTCGATTCCAGTTCCGCCCAAAAACATGACGATTAATGGCCTTCCAGATGGAGAAGAAGTGATGGTTCGCGAGTCTCAGAGATTGGTTTTAACATGTAAAACACGAGGAAGCAAACCTCCTGTGGAAATGAAATGGTACAGAAGATCTGTAGAGCTTGTACCAGGTGTCTTCATCGTATTTTTATTCATATTAAATTAATTTATGTAAATATCTAAATTATTATTATTTAATTATTTTAAACTAAATAGAGGTTGCTAAATTTTTATTTATATTAAATATTTTAAGTTAGTAAACTATAAATTTTTAAAGTTGATTTTTTCCAACAAACTAGAAGCAACAAAAATATCCGTAACGATAGATGAAGAAAAAGGTTTTACAACGAGCAGTTCCTTAACATTGTATCCTAAATTAGAACAAAGTGGAACCACCTACACGTGTGAAGCTTTTCATCCTGCTTTAGAGAAACCACTTAGAGCAACAATTGCTGTCGGAGTTTTGTGTAAGTATTAATATATCTGTGAGGATCTGGAAAATATCAGTTTATAATATAATATTATAATATACAAGTTAAAAAGTATTTACACAAGAGTTTAAAAATAATAAAAACGATGAATCTTTACACAAGAGTATAAAAATAATAAAAACGATGAAATAATAAAAACGATGAAACCCTGTATTANGGGTAATAATATATATACCCTGTATTATTTATGCAAATATATTAATAATATAATTAATATATATTATTATTATAATTAAGAGACACACTCACATACACATACCTGTATATATAAAATACGATGTTAATATAATTAATATATTAATAATAATTTACTTTATTTCATAATAAAAATTAAATTTAATATTACATGTTTAATACAAAACTTATTTAAAAGTTAGAAGCTTAGCAAAAACAAGTGGAAAGATTAACTATGACAAACCTGGGGTTGCCTGGAACCGATCCATTGGAAATGAAAGCTATACGTTAGAAAAGAATATCGATAATAAAATCTCTTCGCTCAACTAAAATTATTTACAAGAAGAAAGAAGTGTCAGGAATAGAAATTATTCTACATGCTTTTCATAAATGATATAGGCTAACCTACACACATTTAAGTATATATTGATTAATTAAAAATTCAAATGATTTACTGCTATTCGTCGTCAAAAATCTTGGTGTCTCTTCTCTTGTGGGAATTGAAGTTAAGTGACTGAACAAGAAAACATCGATTGAAAATCGAATTTTCTTGTTTGTTAAAGAATGTGTAGGAAAAAAATTATAATTTTTAAAAATATAATTTAGCCTGTACGTTTCTTATATAAATTTATATACCTATATAAATTTTAACAAAAAACATTAAATTTAACTTTATTTTTTTTATTTTAGATTTTAATACAATCAATCATTTTAATAAATTGATTAGGATTAGAAAATATAAATTATCGAAGATGTAAAAATAACATTTTTGTACGATTATAGTCCCTCCAAGTCCTCCAATAATTCAGGGTTACCAAGACGATGATGTAGTTCAAATGGGAGACACAGTAGTACTTGTTTGCATATCTCGAGGTGGAAAGCCAGCTCCTCGTATCATTTGGTACCGAAACGACGTACTAATAGATATTTCACACTCAAGTACTGGTTACGAGACAACAAATACTTTCACTTTTACTGCAGGAATTGAGGACAATAATGCTGTTTTTCGTTGTGAAGTTTCTAATGCGCTTACAAAAGAACCTATGAAAAAGTCTGTTACTATTAGAGTTTTATGTAAGTATTATTATTGGTTTTTTATTTACTAAATAATAATTATATTATGATGCAGGCAGAAATTATTTATTTAAAATAACTGAAATATAATTCGTTTATAGAAAAATAATTCATCGTTAGTAACTGCGATATACAATGATCGTTATTTAAAATAATTATGAATATTTTAAAATAATTACAGTAAGTTTAGTGCAATAGTAGAACTTTATCTTTTAAACAGCAGCACAAATTTTATAGATTAAATTTAGAGAAAAGGTCACGGTTTATTTAAAATGAAAAGTGAGTAGGGAGGTTACTTGAAGATCATCATCCAGTTTCGTACAGAGATAAAATTTCTTAATTAGGGCTTAATTAATTCTAATTTTTGCCTTTCATAAACTTCTCCTATATAATTTATATTGGCATGAGACAATACAATCTTTCTTTTCCTGATAGTTTTGGAATAAAAGAAGTATTTAACGAAGAGCAATAAACTAAACAATGGCTTGATCGCGTTTAATTGAAGCTGAAGCTACCTGAGGTGCTATGAAGCATAACTTAATTGGTACTACCTTTATTATCACAAATGCCTTCAGCATTATTAAACTTGCCTATTGCAAAGTACTTACAAACGCTTTTGTTCCATAAATTTCCGTATAATGGAGATTTAATTACTTCATAAAAACTATAAATTATCCATTGCGGTTCAAAAAATTTGTAGTTTATATATTCTTTTATAGTAATATGTGAAAAACAATTTGCAATTAAGTCATTAATGGGAATTTTGTTGAATTCTCACTTAATTGTTTTAAGGGAACTTAAGTTGAGAAGGTAATAAGGCTATCTAAAAATTACCTTTCAGGAACTATTAAAATTATTCGTGCGTATGATACAAAGTTCATCTATAATGACTATGTTAATATACTTAAACTAATTTAGATTTCTTTTGATTGTAAGCCTAATTGTATTTTTAATGAACTAAGACGTTCTTTTCCTTTATATTTAGCCCAATATACAAGTATTAAAGTATTAAAAGGAAATGAAAAGAAAATTGGTTCTAAAAAATTAAAAACTAAAATTAAATTTAAATAATATTTGAATTTTTATGTTTAGTTTTCTTCTTTGTTTTAAGTTTAGGAATGTTTTTAAACAGAAATAAACTTGATCATTTACTGAATCTTTTAAAATGAAATTCTTTGCTTTATGAAAGGGAAGAAAAGCATTTATTTGATGACAGTTCGCTTCAAAACAATACGAAAATTTAAATATTAAATAATTCCTTAAGAAATGATTAAATAATGGAAATACGAAAAAAAGATTAGTTCAACGTAAACGATAAAACAATTTTTTCTTTAAATTCAGTTCGCTAGAACAATTTCTTTGATTTTACATTAGGACTGACTTTGCTATTCTGTTCTGAATAAGAAAAAAGAAGCAAGTTAAAAGAATTCTTTTACAAAACTTATGAAGTAACTTTCTTTATCGTTATAAAAATAATTCAATTTCGTTAAAAGAAAACACTTTCAAATACTTTTTAAAAGATTGACTTAAAACAGAAAATCTTTTAAAGCACATATAAAAGAAAAAAACTCATGACGAACGTTTTTACTCTTCTCTTGACAGTCGGTCCAAAGAACTTGACTATTAGCGGTCCTTCGGAAGCTCGTCGTGGAGAAACTATCGTGCTTAGCTGTCAAAGCGACTACAGCAATCCTCCTGCACAACTGTCTTGGGTTGTAGATAATAATATCATGAAGTCTACAGAAATTGAGACGTATCAAACACCAGACGGATGGATGACTTCTTCTAATCTCAGCCTCACTATCACCAGGCAGGTAAATTCTTGTCTTTAACTGAATGATAGAAATCTCTATAATATTTAAAAATTAAATTTTAAATATTATAAATTTTATAAGTTTGAAAATAATTCTATTAAAAACAAAATTCTCTTCCACCCCTTTTTATTGTTTTAACAACAATTAAATGTTTTACTTTATTGTATTATTTAAAAAATAATACTATTTTATTCCCTTTTGTAGTAACGATTTATAATTAACTTTACTAAATGCTTTTATATTAAAATTATTTTTAGAACGGTATAAAAGAACTTGCTAAAATATATATATATATTTTTTTGAAATGTCATCAACAAAAATAATACTTTAAATTATTGTTAAATTACATAATTATTTTTCAATTTCTTATCTTTTTATTTTTACTCACATTACACAAGACGTTCGATATATATACGATTCACAAAACATATACTTTGGATTTTTTAGTATTTGAATTTAGATGACACTTTTTAAGCTTCTTTATAATATCGCACTTACTTCTAAGATGTTTTGTCTTGAATATATATCTAAGCCGCTACTTTTGATGTAGAATAACAAGTGTGATGCGATAACGCTGTTTAACGATTGTCTTTTAAAGTTTCACAACATTTTAAAATTTTTCCTTACTCTTATCCTAATATACTTAATATTGATCTTGGAAATATAAAGAGAATTTTTTTCCTTTAGATTTTGCACATACCCTACTCAAGCTAATGAAAATACGATATTATAAAACAAAATCTCTTCTTAAAATGGTATATATTCAAAATTATCCAACAAATATTTTAATAAATTGGAGTGATAAATTATCACAATAAAATAACTATAATATGTTAATTTTAATTATCTAACATTGATTATTTTATTATTAATTTTTGAAGCTATTATTAAAATTGTTATAAAAATAATTAGATTAATAGCTACATGCTTCAAATTTTTTAAATACTGTATTAACAAATTTAATATAATAAAAAATAAAACTATAAAATAAAATGTTTTTCTTAAAGTATCTCTGAATATTTTAAAAGTTAATAAAATAAAAATAAAAGTCAACATAAATATTTTTTTGCGTGAAATTAATTCTCTATTTATGTAAATATTTTATTCTTTATTAATTTAAGAAATGCATTAAAATTTCTCTAAAATTAATAAGAATTTGACAAAATTATACGTATAAATAAATCCTATGTAAATTTAAATCTTAAATTTATATAATTCTTATATTTAAGGATATTATGTAAATTTTATATTTACTAATATTAATCTTTTTGTGTTATTTGCTAGAATTTACGAGTTTGTGATAAAATTTTCTAAATCATATTTACATTATAAAATGGAGCTAGAAGGAAAATTGTGTATAAAGAATGTTACAAAATTTTTCAAAAAATTTCATTTGAATTCTTATTTTTTTCAACAGATCGATTAATTCTAATGATTACTGTTTCGAAATTAAAAGTATTATGAACATTTACTGTATTTTAATATTAATTTCTTGTTTAATATTAACAATTTAAAATAAAAAACGTAAATAGTAACTATATACGTTTTTATTTTAAGTTGTTACATGTTATGATTATGATTTTGTAGAAGAATTTTTTCGGATTTATTATCAAAAATATTCTTTAAATAATGTTGATACAGATAAATGAGTATGGTTTGAATTTAGAGGATGTTTTTTAAAAATATATTATATATCTCTACTTATAGTTATATTATTATTCGTTTAATAAATAAATTCTAAAATAAACTTTTTTTACTATAATTATATTTTTAGAAAAGAAATACTGTACGTATTTTTCTTGTTCCTAATTTATTTATTTTAAAATTATTTTTACCGGCATTACTTTTTATTCATTTTCATTTTACAGTTAATTGAACTGTAAAAGATATTACTTATCATATTCTTACACAAATAATTATAATTTTATTAATCGCTTTAATGCTTAATTATTCACAATTTTATTATTATTTTTAATATTCTGTATTTTATGCAATACATTTTACTTTAAAATTAATTTTAATTATATAATTAACAACATTATGAAATATAGAATGATATATTATGTCACAAATATTTTTGATAACTTTATGGTTGACATATCTTGTTTGTCTATCAACTATTGAAATTTTATTTCTCTTAAGAAAAGGCCGAAAACTCCAATATTAGAAGTTCAAGAATAACATATAGCAATTATAACTATATATTTTTTTTTATATGAAATCATTCTATATTCTGTTAAAGTGCAAAATATAAGTGGAATAGATTTTGGTTTAAACATTGATATTACTTTTATCTCTTAGATTTAATATAATTTTGTATTTGATTAAAATTTACATTTCAAAGATTGAGACAGGTAATATAATTGATTTATTGAAAATATGAGTTAGCTCGCTAATTTAAATTACATCATATTCCATTAAATAACCGGAAATCATGTAATTTATAGACACAAATGTAATATGTTACATGTTTCTTCATATATTCTTATTAATAAAGATTTAATTTGGCGTTAAACTATCCTTGTTCAAAGCATAATATTCAGCTATGCTAAATGAGATGAACATTGATAAAGCAATGAAGATGAAAGTTATTAGTATTGGTTATTAATATTATTATAATCAAATAAAAAAATTTTATTGAATTTCTTTTTATTAAACGAATAACTTAGATGAAAATGATCAAAAAATAAACACTTATCCACCGTTACTCGTAATCATTCGTGGAAATAAATAAATATGTTATCAATTTCTTTTCACATTCTATACAATGGAAATGAGAAATTCGATTAAGCATTTGCGTGAGTAACTTCATACGTAAAATGAAAATTATTTAGATTCAATTCAATCCTATTTCTAAAATTTATGAAAGAAATAAGTCTGCAGTTTTCCAATAAAAGCCATCAA